CTGGTAGTTATAACCAAGTTGAGCATCAAAAACAGGATATGGGTCAGCTCCCGGGGATCCAGGACGGGTCAAATGCAAAGGACACATTTCTTAATAATAGTAATAAAGTATATCTTAACTGTGACCTATGCCCTTCTCATCAACAGTAACCTAACCTTTAAATTCAAATCATTCTTGCTGTTTGGTCATAAGTCCAAACATCCTTGATAATCAAGAAACAAATGAGTTAATGATACAAGTGCATGTGTGTGTCTTCACCTCATATATGGAGAATGAAACAGCAAAGTGCGCTTGTTGTTGAACACATTTGAGTTTATTAAAGCAGCCCGGAAATCTCCAACAGAAGGCATTATGTAACTTTGACACTTTATGAAATGTTTACGCCTGGACTGTCTGCAAGCTTCAATCAGCTCATCAAGATGTCTCTTGACAGGGCTAAAACTGTGAAGACCAGATTCTCAAAATACCCAGTCAAGCAAGAGTTTCTGCATCTACTGAGATACACTGGATTTGATGTATTTAGTAAGGAAAAGTTGCAAAACATACTTAATATCCAGTTAAGCTGATCATTGGCTACTCGTCGCCCACGGGATAATTTGTTCCCTGCATTTTATCACTTCCCCATTGCTGCCGTGGGGCCCTGTCTGTAAGAGAGGTCCTTTTATATTTTAGATTATAGTGAAGAATACATACCTAAATTGCAGATGCGTCATTTTGTAGATGTTATAAATTACAACATTCTGTAGCATTCTTTATAAACCTGTTGTAACTCGCGGTGGTATTGTGAAAACTTCTTGCTGAGAGACACTAAATGCTACATTATGGGTTCTGATTTGCCTCTGCATTTGCCTAATTAAATCTAATAATAAATGATCTGAAAAGTGACATTTTGTTCCAATAAAGTCAATTTAATGAGTCGCTTGATCACAGCTCTGTCTTGGCTTTAAATGTCAATAATCCTGCACCTCTTCAGTCTGACATTCCATTGACTAGATTTTTGAGCAGTTTTCGGTCCACTTTCTTCTTTATCTCGATGACCTCCTTTTTCCCCTTGGAGTCGCTGTCTCTAAACACCACATATTAAGCGTGCATTTAAACGAGGCATCAAACTACAAGAGGCAGAAATGGGACTGAGCACGCAGGGCACACTTTGGGGCGTTTATCAGATTATTGTCAACACTTGTGCATGGTTGCGCGCTTAGGCCTAAATGTGTGCACATCAATCGCCTACGGAATGAATTAAAAGAGAGAAGTTTGCGTCTTACACACACCATAGCCTCTCAAAACACATAAGGGTATTTGGTTCTTCTATACCAGACAATAGTAAGTTAGCAATGTTATTAACTTGGCATGTTTCATCAAGTTTCTGGGGAAGACGGAAGTATATCGTTGAAATATCTGTACCTTACTATTTTCTGATAAGAACCAAACACCCTCATTCCCACTGAGAAGACAATAAGACAAGTTTCTCATAACACAATTCAATTAAATTAAATTCAAATAACTTAGATTATCCGTGAGGGACTTCATTTCCAGACAGATAACCTTTGGAGATACATAAAAACCCCGAAACAAAAGATATAAAATACATTAAAAGTGCAGAAATGGGTGAACTGTTGATTCTTTGAAGATGGGAAAAAACTCAAGGAAATAAACACAATTCAAAAACTGAGTGGTCGACAAGAACAGTGCAAGCTTTTTAGACTATCAAACCGAATCCTGAACTGTATTTTGCGTGACCACATCTGCCCAGAGGCATAGTTTTAACTGGAAAGTGCTTGCCGATAATTTCATCATCCACATTTTAAGGTTGAGTTATGTGAGGTGTTGACTGAGGACACAACAACATTACACAGCACTGGGCCATAAGAAGAAGGCAATAACTAACTATAGTTCATGATTCTGGTTTAATCCTTGGTTTAATTCTGATGTCAAAGTTTAGTTCTAAGTTAAATCAGACTATAGCATCAAACCATAATATTCAGGATTCAAGTTTTTTTCTCTATGACCATGTTACTGTGTTGCCTTGAATGTCCTCTTCGATTACAATCAATGTTTTCTATGCAGTGAGTTACATGTCATATCTGTGTCTTTTTAGCTATCACAAACACCTGTAATTGAGTAAGATAGTTAAAGCTAGAAACTTTCAAACCAGAAAACATATAACTATTCAATACAATACAATAGCTGCCGAGCTTTTATGTATTTTTTGGTCACATCTTTGGAACAGCTTTCACAGACAGAAAAGTGAAAAGGCAAGACCATTCCTTCTCAGCTCTTTTCCCAAAGCATCAAATATTGACTAACGTGGCTCTCAAGGATGCAAAATACAACATGTTTTGTACAAAGATTAAGACAACATAATGGTGGTCTGACTTCCTTCTGTTCTCTTTCGGGATAAACAAGTTCAGATCTAGTGTATTTGCAGCTTTAAACCACATTGGAATATTTGTGCAATAATACCCAGTGTGCACAACAACAACAACAACAACAACACAATACAGAAAAAACATAGGAGAACAATGTATAAGCCATTAAAAGAACAAAAATAACTACTCTCTCAAGAATCGTGCAGTCATGAAGAAAATTCCTGTTATAACACCTCCATAAATAACTGCAGATGGCGTTCATCCCGTTAGGAAGTTATGTAATTGCACCTATCAAAGAATCAGACTTTGGTAAACATTATTCAAACATTCCTGTCACAGACTCAGTGTAATTAGAGTACTATTCTTGATGATGTGTTGTGTGACTGAAATATTCATGCACAAAAACTCACCACCCGAATGCACAATTATCCAGCGTTTTTTTTTCTTTTTTCGTCCTTGCTGTAAGACTTTTGTTGATCAAAGGCCACTCTCGGTTGATGCCTTTGTGGTCCATAAAAGGGCATATTAATGTATAAATAATGCATTCCGATTCCTCTATTCTCTGGCGCAGTGTGAGATAGCGGCTGTTACGGGTGTGCACTGCTGTGTGTGGAAGGGTTTTCTGCTAAAACACTTTCGGATATGTCACGCTTCATGAATCAACAACTGTAAATGAGGGCGTGTCACATCAACATTCACCGAGATCTATGTCCTTTTCCCGCGCAAGATGAAAAGTGCACTTGGGTGAAAAATTATTAATTCGCATTTGTACAACGTCCCACTGAAAACAAGCCAGGTGACGCGACAGACAGGCAGGTTGTAAAGGATGTTGGATGATCAGGTTTGGATTTGGTTTGATATTCTGGATTTTTTTGGGCTAAGATAAGATAAGATATACTTTATTTATCTCACAAAGGAGAAAATTACATGTCACATTTGGCATGGATTGAAACACTCAAGATTGTGCAAAAAGGTAGGAAATGTGCAAACATGTTAAATGCAGGATATATTATGTACACTAAAAATAATGTCAGTTTAAAAGTGGTAATCAGTGTCAATAGTAGTGCAGGTTTTTTCAGTCTTAATGCAGTGACTTAAAGTGACTTGTTGTACAGTCTCTATAGTGTTAAACGTGTTCCAACCTAGTGTTAAATGCCAAAAGTGTATTTTAATCTGATTGATTAATTAATTAATTGATTTTATTTTGGTCATCCCATCACCAAAGTTACAGTTCAAACACATGATAAAATATAATGAAATGTAACCAAAAAACTCTAATTTTAGAGATTTTAGATTATATTTATTTGAAAGCACATTGTGTTCACTAAAAAAAAAAAAGTTTTAAAAAAGTAGAAAAGTACATTATGTCCCTGCTATAACAAGATATGCTTTCGGATAAGAAAAATGTCTTGTTATGTAAGACACAAATTCTCACTTGGAAAAGAGAAAAAGATGAACATAGGAATCTTAGCTTGTTTTAAGACTTTAACGCTAGAAGCAGGAAATCTGACGGATTATAGTTCTGGAAGTGTTCAAATGCTCCCAAAAGATTAAAAATTGTATAAATCACTCACTTTTAATACAATTGATGTAAAACCACCAACTTTTTTTGGGAAGTTGTCTGAATTCTATATATCTGAATTGGAGCAATCAGAATGACTGGGAGTTCTTGTAGTTTCAGATTCCTAACAGATGAATATGCAATTTTCATAAACATTTGCATTTCTAACTTTGTAAAACATCCTTTCACATGAATAGCAAGACTTAAACTTTATTGACAACACTTTAGAAACACAAATCCCCCATTCTATTTTGATCTGTGAACAACCATAAAAAAATAAACGAGATTGTGTTGTTGTAACTGAAACTGTGATCCAACAACTCTAGTGTTGTTTTGCAGAATAATGAATGTGTTTCACTTGTGGAAATCATCACATCTACTTGCACTTTGACTCAGATTAGATCATTATCTAACTTTCTGGGTGTGTTATGCAGCCAGTACAAGACCATTCATTTTGTTTTTTTGCATGTTATCTTCAGTCGGACATCTATTTGTCCATGTTGCATTCTTGTGATAAACCTTAGACTTATCACCATGGCAATGATACTGTTATCAAGGGACTGCCTTGAACATAATATATATAATAGATAATGCAACAAGGGCAAATACTACATGAAAAAATGACCCTCGCTCCTCATTGCAGATAAATTGTGCACCTACCACGTAACTATTTCTATGCAAGTTTTTTGCTATTGTATGGGACTGGAGGATGTGTTCAAGTAGTCTGTCTGAAAAAGCTGACCTAAACTCCTGCGTTTGACCAACCAGCAAGGAACTGTTTAAATTATTTTTGTTACTTTTTATATATGTTATAGGTTTTTTATGTACCCAGCTTTTTGTGTTTAACATTATGGAATGATACCGCTACAAACAGAAGTTGAATGGTTTAAACTAGTGTCCTCTCTGGCTCTCCATAGGATTCCACTCTCTCCTGCATAAAGGTTGTCATAACCTCCGCTCAACCCTGGTGTCCCCCCCTCACCCCTTACTCCTGAGATACATTGCTTCGGGACACTATCTCTTTCTTTCTAATCCTTCTCCTGACATTAACATGTGACGTTTTATTTTAGGAGCCCGGGGCAGAATGGCCAGACAGATGATAATGCAGATGACACTAAGGTCTTCACCAAGATCTTAGACAGCCTTCTGGACGGCTACGACAACCGCCTCCGGCCCGGACTCGGAGGTCAGTGAGAACCAAATCTTTTTGTCTTCTAACTCGGACTATGCAAATCTATCTCCAGTGACCCGTACAGGCTGCAGACAGTTGCACACATGTAGGCAGGCACACAGAAGGACTACGAGGAGCACTGTGCCAAAGTGATGGTGTTAAGTCAAAGTGATTTCGTCAAATTCAAACTAAATTATACACAAGTGGAAAGTAGACTTAGGCTTTAAATTACTTGCAACTACTTAGACACATCACAAATGGGTTCCATTATATGCAACACATAATTTAGTTAGGTCAAGCTATTTCTATGTAGTAGTAGTAGAAGTCTTTGTAATGGCCTCTGAGACATCTGCTATCGTTTAGGGCTATAACGGAAAATATTGAACTGAATTGATTAGTAGTAGTAGTAGTAGTAGTAAACAAAGGAGTATAGAAGGAGTATTAGCAATACTAGTGATACAGTGGTATGTTAGTTAAAATATATTAATATGGCAGTGGAAAACATGTAGTTATTATCAGACAACTTAAAAGTCCCTGAAGTAGTCAGATTCAGATTCTGATTCAAATTCAGTTTATTTGTCATTTGCAGTAAAAAACCACATTGGAATACATTAGCAAAAAGTCTCCAGTGTGCACAGACAGTGATAGTAGTAGTCATAGTTTGGGTAGAAACTGTTTCCTATGGTGTTTGAAATGGAGCAACAAATATGGCTCTACGTAAAGGCCCTCATTATACTTTCAGATTGAGAACAGTTTCCTTTCATGTGATGTTTTACTGCTATATTCACACCGTTGTCTGACAAAACAAAATGGCAGGATATATTGCTCGGAGGTAGAATGAGAAAGATAATGTGTGAATTGGGATGTGAAGGGCATTGCAGCACAAATCCAGCAGACCGGACACTAAAGGCTATGGTGGAGTTTTAGCACCAAACAGGGAGGAATTATGGGCTGAGATAGACATCATTCATAAATCATGTTTTCATATCGCAGTAGTAAAATGGAAAATAGGGGTCCGGCCAGACACCATAGTGGAATGACAGCAATACACAGCTCAACTTGTAAACAAAGTGCTTTATTATACAAGCAATACAGAATGAGATTAAACCTGTAATGTCCGATATTAATGTCTAGATTTTCTATCTTCATCTGCTCATAACGAGTCAAACACCTTGCTATTAAATCATGCCGGTGTACGGTTAAAACAGTTGTCTATACGCTTTGTTTAGCATTCATTAATGTGTATAAGCAAACAAATATGGTATTCACGTCGGCAAGAAGTAGATTTCTGATTCGAGTTAGATGCCCTTGGTAAGGCATATATAAAATGTATATAAAAATCAAATTGTAAAGATGGAGAGAGTAGCAGGTACAGTAACTAGTTAATTATGGGTTAATTACAGGTGAGATGACATGTACAGGCTTAGAAGTTCTCATTGTACAGACTGAGGCTGAGTTTACACAGAGACAATGTGGCAGTAAAACGGTATATATTGAGGTGGGTTTCTACCAACCGTTCATACAAAGACTGTGTTCCAGGGGGGTGAAAACGTAAGTGTTCAGATCCAGCCTGCAGAGTGGGACAACTCAGAAACGCTGCACAGAGGGGCTCTCTTTCACACCCGTGTGAGGGGAAAAGGTGTGAAATCCCCCTCTGCTCTGACCCCACCTCCGCGCTGCTCCCTGCACGTAAATTTGGACATGCGCAGTAGCGGAGAACAAACATAAACAACAATGGCGGCGGTCGCACTAACTAGCTTCATGGGCTTCGAGCGTGGCACAGAGGATAATTCTACACCTTTGTTCGTCCAAACGAGACCACGCGAAGCTCTAGGTTCAGTTTCCATTTTCCCAGATGCTGTTAAAATGCAGAATGATGTTGGTGCGTTCTGAGGGTCTGGCACAGGAAGTGAGTACACTGCCGAGAGGGGGGCTGGGCACGGGGCTGGGGGTCGTGTGAGTGTTGTAAAGTTTCTCTGCCCCCTACTGGCCGGGCGCTAGAACTACATCGTTTTTCAACCTCATGTGAACGCTGAGAAATTTGCATTAGGAGCCAGGTCGTTTCTGTTAATAGCCTGGAAACGTCTGCGCAGCGTCTCAGTATAAACAGGGCCTGAGAGTAGCAGAAAGGAAAGACCGGCAGAACTTCTCCTTCACACTGCAAGGGTAGATAGTCTGTCATGTCTGTCACTGAAGTTGCTCTCCATGGCAGTGTCCTGCAGGGGGTGACAGTCATGGTCTGTCATGGATGATATTACTAGGTCATATGGTCAAAATTATGTATATTAATCAAAATGAAATCCAATTGAACTTTTAGTATTCTTTTCAAGTACTAAGTTCTCTGGTTTCATAGTGGCTGTTTAAGAAATGGCTAAATAGACTGAATTATTGGGGGGATGTCAGCAGGTGGGTTTGTACTAACAGGTAGTTAAGAGCTAATGAATGGCACAGATATATGTCACTCACTCTTCCCATTTCCTGCTTCAACAGAGCGTGTAACTGAAGTCAAGACTGACATTTTCGTGACCAGCATTGGGCCCGTTTCAGACCACGACATGGTAAGATTCCTTTTTTTTGCCTCTGTAAATGTCACCAGTTTTTACCCCCCTGTGCTTTCCCCTGCATGTCTCCTTCTCTCACCACGCTGCTCTAACCTCTTTGGACACACAGGTCTATAAGCATTAAAACAGGAGTTGCTTTGATGACTAATTTCATTAAATCTTCCTGTGGTGATAAAGCTGTCGCGTGTAATGTTTTTAATGGGTGGCTGTTAAACGTTCTGCCCCCTATAACCTGGGGCAAACTTGCTGCTTACTTAAAATGACTAAAGTCATAATGGATCATGACTGTTTAAGTAAAAAATAATAATATATGGATTCAATGAACGAAACAATTTATTCACCACAGAATATTCTGTTTGTACTTAATGCCGGGGCACAGAACTTAGAAACTACAATAACGGAACTGCAGTATTTCATGAAATCCATGTATACTATGCTGTAAGTATTGTATCAATCAGCTTTCAGCCCAAAGAATCCAGGGATTTTTCATTCAAGTATGCAAAATATAACATAATGTTCTAATGGGGGTCTTCAAATTGATTACAACATTTTACTTGCACAAGATTCTTGTTGTTGGGATAGATTATTTGTGGACCAATAATGTAGGACCCACATTTGAACATAAACTTCAATCTCTTGAGTCTATTGCATCACTGCTGTGAACTGCTGTGAGCTCCAGGAGTGAGATACTGTACGTTGTTGGATGTTGGATGTGTACAGTCTTGCCAAAAGATTTGCTTTTAAGATTGATTTTCAATAAATAATTAAAAGTCCATTACACTAAATTACTTAACCCATATGCCCTGTAAAATGGATCAAGAGTCGATATTATAGCAGGCCTAAACAAGATTATACCAGAGTGGTCCAGAACTGGAAAGAATTTCCACAGAAAAACAAGACAAACTATTTAAATATTTACCTTCTCCCCTTTATATTTACATATATATGATTCCTAATCGTTATCTTAAGCACCACTTCTGGCTCTTTCACATCAGGGCTGTTAAAAAAGAAAAAAAAACTATGCACCAATACTGGTATTGAGTATCGGGTCGATACCATATAGGCTTGTACTCGTACTCGTACTCTTATCATAGGACCCGATGCGGACAACTAACACCCACATTTTAAATTAACATTAGCGGCACGACAGGAGACAGCGAGAAGGCGCTTGCCGCTAGCTTAGCTTAGCTTAGCGGCAAGCGAACAGGATGTCGTCCATACAGCAGTGTTTTAAAGCAAACGAGTGACAAGAGTAAAGCGGAGTGTACGTTGTGTAAAACTGTCACAAGTTGATCAAACATCTGAAAACTCACCATCACGCAGAGTATAGCACTTTTGATAGCACCGGAGCTATTTCTTTGTACCATGTGAATGACTGGAATATGACAGTGGCTCTTATTGTTGACTGATAAAATAATTTCTAAAATTTTTATTTGTTAAAGTTTTTTTTAAGTTTTTTTATGAGAAATAAAACATATTCAACTTCAGTTGTATTAGTTTTATGATTTACCAGGGATAACAAAATGCAGTATTCGTATCGGTATCAGCAAATACTCAAATTAAGGTACTCGTATCGGTTTTGAAAAAAGACCCTATCCCAAACCTACCATTAAATCAGGGGTACCAAATGTTCAAACTAATAGAACTATTTTACGGAATCAAACTAGTTTTTCAATCTCACTTTCTGCCAAGTTTTCAAAAAATATTATAAAGAGCTTTTTCACTATTGAGGCATGCACATTACTATGGTAAGGCATTTCTCATATCTTCAAAACTTAGCTGGATGACACGGTTCCGCAACCGTTAGCACTCTCGCCTCTCGATGAGAATGCACCATGTGTGGAGTTTGCATCTTCTCCCCGTGTCTGTGTGCATTTTCAGCAGGTGCACCAGTTTCCCCTACCCTCCACCACTTCACAATGCACATTTCTTTCATCCATTTTACATGTTACCAAATGGATGTAGATGCAGAGATACATTTGGGATACTGATTTATTGTTCTCACTTCACAGTTCAATTTTTGCACAATACTGACTATGGATAAAACAAATGGACACAAACACACACACACACACACACACACACACACACACACAGTGGCGATCACAATACCCCTTGGCAGCACAATAAACACATAATTATTCTCCTTACATGTACATTGTAGCGTGCACACTAAATAGGACACTTCGTCTTGGCAGATGTTTTCTTACAAAGCTCGGGGCACTTATAACCATCTGATCATTGCTCTCTTCACCAGGAACAAACGAATTTCCTCCTATTATACGACCAAAAAGCAGTTCTTGTTACATAAAGTTGAAAGATTTGAACTCCATTTGACATAATGTGAGTTAATTGCGCTGTCCGACATATGGGCCAAGTCTATTCCACTACACTGCAGCCATACGGAGATGCTGCAGAACATTTCCCCATCTCCAGTCTGCTCTCCATCCTCTGTGCTACTCTGTGCTATTACCTCCAAGCACTGTTTAAACTCGTGCTAATTATCCAACGCGGTCTGAGCAAAAGAGAGTGGGACCAGGACGGACTAAAAAACAAGCTGCTGTGTAATTTTCATACAGGCTTCTTCTAGTTTTCTCTCGCCAGTCATGTGGAATCATTAAAATCTGCTTAAAGCTATGTCATTAGCCTAGCTTTGAAATCAAATGTCCTTAATACTGTGGCCCCGGCTTCTCCTCCTGTTATGTTTCCATCCCTGGTGTAATTTAGATGATAACCAAAGTAGTTCTGCCCCAGTAGAAAAGAAAAAAATTGCAAGGGGTGATTATTCCAGCTTAAACCGCAAATGGAAGAGACATTACTAATTCAGGCCAGAAAAATGGGCTGAATCAAGAAATAGGCTATTTTCAAATGATGCCCAAGAAGCACTGCTCTCTGTGAGAAATGATTATCAACAGCTCACAAAAAAATATACATTATTGTTTATGGAGTTATTAACAATTATGTTGATAATCAGTTATGAGGGCGACTATTATTTCTGATTAATTGATTAGTTATTTAGATCCTGAGAGGTCAGTGAATACTGGATTTTTGTACATTTAACCAAAATAAAGCTCAAGTGATGCCCCTGGAGAATATTATCATAGAGGTGACTTGTTACAAATTGGGTTGTTTGATTACATATACATTTAATTTAATTCCCAAAAAATATTAATCAATTACTAAATGTGTTTGCTCAATTTTTTTATATTAATTTTGATTAACAAATTAACCTGTTATGACCTAAATGTCATTAATTTAGTGTAGCTCAAGTATTTCACTTGTTTTTCTATATAGGTTATTTAAGATTTCTTCAAGTCACCCTTTGAGAACTTGCTCTCGATCATTCTATGTGTGTTGTAGATGGTTCACTAAAAACATATTGGTCACTCAGAGTGACCAATATGTTTTTAGCTATACGGTGACTCACTCTATAGCCTCTTATCCTGCAGCTGGGAATGAGTACGACATAACAGAAAGAGACACATGTTCTGCTGAATATATTCCTTTAAAACACAGAATAATGCTTTTATATGGTGATTCTTTCAAAGATCCCAAGCTACATCACATCACAGCAAAAACCTTGAAAAATACCTGGCAGGAATCTCCTCCAGACCCCTCTCCTCATGTGTCCTGCAGCCGCTAATGTGAAGCGACAGTCAGCAGCAGAAACTAGGCCAAGGCTTGTGTGGGAAAGTCAAAGTGACACGCGATACAGTGAGAGCATGAGAAGGTGAAGAGCCAAAACAAACATACAGCCTTACTCAGCACCTTGTCCCCAGTCCAAGTCATTACTGGAACTTCAGATAGTTTTGGGGTTACACCGTGTGAAGTCATCCGGGAGTTGGTTTGGTTTAGTAAAGCTTGTCAGAGAGTTTCTAAATGCCAAGTAGGTTGTTGAAGAAAAAGTACCTTCCGGATGACTTCTCTTTTGTCTCCTCTCATGAGCCTCATCCCTTCCAGTTTACCCCTCAACTCATTCACCAGTCTGTCCTTATGTTGTTATTGTCACCTGAAGTACCCGTTCAACCAGGCACATCTTTGCCAGCCACCCGGCCTAATTCATACACATTGAAGTCACAATTTCGCTAATCTTTGGTGAAATGATGGTTCTATTGCGCCATCTAAGCCACAATTTCTGTTGTTTATCTAACCTTCATTTAGGATAAAACTCACTGAGATTAATGCGAGAGTGACCTGTGAAAGATATGCATAACTTTGAGAGCTTTACCCCTGACCGTTTCTTTGTCCTGTCTTCCCCGCTGTGATAAGTCAGGATATGCAACATTGTTAAAAAAAGTCCAGCCCACATAGCGGCACAGTCTATATAGCAAGAAAGTCCTGGATTTGATTCCACCTTCCTCTCTGGAGTTTGCATGTTCTCCCTGTGTTTGTGCAGGTTTCCTCTAGGTGCTCTGGTTTCCCCTACCACTTAAAATGTGTACAATATGTGAGAGTTGAACAGTTTTGTATTTGTGAGTGTGACTGTGGAAATACAGTTCGAAATTACCCACAAAGCTACTACCTGGTGGCTGAGTGGATAGCACTCTCGCCTCTCAGCAAGAAGGTCCTGGGTTCGAATCCCGGTCGGACCAGGGCCTTTCTGAGCGGAGTTTGCATGTTCTCCCCGTGTCTGCGTAGGTTTCCTCCGGGTGCTCCGGTTTCCCCTACCACTAAAAATATGTACAATAGGTCTGGCATGTGCCTCCTGTACTGGCGACCCCCACCCAACAATTGTAAACCGCTTTGAGACTCCGATGTGCAGTGAAAAGGCGGTATATAAATAAAAGCTTACTTACTTACTTACAGTGAATGTTCCAGTTGCTGTTCATGATTACACACTGTCCCATACAAATAAACACACATTCATATGCGTGTTATACTTCTGCTGAAGATGCTTGGTGTAAATAGAGAGCTAACATTATCAGTTATGAAGTGTTATCAGTTATTTTAGTTTGCCCAGATTGAACATCGTCTCGCATTGGCCAATATTTCATGGAGGTCGAGCTCAATTAGATTAACTGTAAAATAAATCCAAACACAGAATAGAAACAAGAAATTGCATTACCTCGGTCTGCTCAAATTTACAATAAAAGCTGGTCCCCAAAGCTCCGTGTAGCCTCCGTCCTGTTTGATATTGATTTTGCTCCAGGCAAGACTTTGTTCCAACATTTTTCTTCAGCCACAGCTTGTTCCACCATTGTAACACCTCATCTGACAGTGACCAGCAATGACTCATCTTTTGCAATCGAGCAACGGACACGTCATTGTAAACATTTCAAATATTTGAACATTTGCTTTTTTCTGTTTCTTATCTATTTTCTTTGTTTTATTATTCAAATAAAAATGTATATGGGCCATATTTTAACTGCCCTAGTCATTATAGTGCATACAATGACTACATAGAAACTCAGATTTAACAATGATTTTCACACAAAGTCTGAAATCAGTTAAAGCTGGGGTACCTAACTATCAAAACCCAACCATTTTAACTATGTAAAAAATCCAATCCAATCCGTTTTCCCAAGCGTACATGTGTTGGACTTTACATTTTATGATCCTCTTTAAGATCATGTCATGATAAGATTTGTTCTCAACATTTCACTTTTACTTTCTCACTTTCTTGTTGTTGGGACAAACATAATGTATTATAAATTAGTTGAGTTCTTAGGTCTCTGCACTGGCTTCTTGTGGCTCATAAACTTTAAAGCAGCTCTGTTTTTGAACAAGTCTGGTCTCGCACCAAAGTACATTTGTGAAATGTCAGTGCCATATGAACCAAGTCGGACTCTGAGGAGCACAGGGACTGGCTTCTTGCTGGTGCCCAGAGTCAAGACTAAACATGGGGAAATTCAATTAGATTCAATGTATTCTTGTATAGCCCTAAATCACAACTCACAGAGGACTTAACAAAACCGTTGAATTCGTCAACACAGATCAGAGAATCAACAGTTCAACAAAAAGAATGCACCAGTTAAAAAAAGCCATTGGTCCATAACGGGCCGATGACCAATGTCCATAGATGATGATAACATTTAGGCTCAATCTTCACAATCTTCCTGAAAATGTGAGACAGGCTTCTTCTCTGACAATGTTTACAAATCCTAGTCAAAGCAGTTCTGTTGAGCTGGGCATACAACTGAAGGACTTATCTTCACTTTTAAATGAACTGTAATTATTTTGGATTTCATTGTCTTGTGTGACCATAATGTTTCTTTTATTTTTCTGCTTACCAAAACAAATTCCCTTGTGAATGAACTGTGCAATTTAACTTTCTAGCCATTTATGAAATGCTAGGTACCCCAGCTTGAAAATCTTTAAGTATCAATAATATTTTGACATGTTCTTTCCCTGCAGGAGTACACCATTGACGTGTTCTTCAGACAGAGCTGGAAGGACGAGCGGCTAAAGTTCAAAGGGCCCATGTCGGTTCTTCGTCTCAATAACCTGATGGCGAGTAAGATCTGGACGCCGGACACGTTCTTCCACAACGGAAAGAAGTCGGTGGCCCACAACATGACCATGCCCAACAAGCTGCTGCGCATCACAGAGGAGGGCACGCTGCTGTACACCATGAGGTGAGACGGGAAATATACTATCAATCCCACCACTACTTTTCAAAACGTTGGGATTATGAGGTTAAAGCAGACATAACTTGCTGTCTCTGCTTTGTATGATTATATGTGACTCTTTTGGCTGATTACTTTGAAATTTGAGCTAAAACACAGTGTTGCTACCTCCACGATGCTTTGTGCAATGAGAGCGTTCTTACCAATATGAGAAACCAATAGATTTTAAACAGAAAAAATTATAATGACAAAATGCCAACAAATTCTTACTTTTGTGAAAGCTGAAGGTTCCCAGGTCTCTTGGAATATTTCTTGTGTTGCTTGTGAGACTTTTCACAGCTTTAGTAAGTTGCGTGCCTTGACATGTTGTCATAAAAGTTAAGAGACTTAATTTGTTCTTACTATTAAATGATCATTCCCAAAACATAACATACATAGTACACAACTAGACGCAACATTCACACAATTTCTTATACCAGAATTGTAGTGGTTTGCTATGAAATTATTACCATAACCATTATACCTATAGTTTGCCTGGCCTAAGCCATCCATAAACTGTGGTCAATTATAATTTCCTTACATGTACGTCTGGGTCTGATGTTAGTGGCTGTTGAATCCCCTCCGACCATTCAGCGAGCGGGGAAGGCGGGTGTTTTAGGGAGGTGTCGGTGACGTCAAGTTTTTGTGCCGAATTTGCTGGTTGTAGTTTAGCAATGGCGGCGTATGGAATTCTAAAGGGAGCTCTTCAATCCCTTCTGGTTTGGGGAGTTAACCCCTCCCACCTGTTAATGGAGCTCAATGGAGGAGCAAATCCAGACCTAAGTAAGACATGAAATGAGTATGATGGTATGGTAAGACCAGGCCAACCTATAGAAGTGTCTGTGTAAAAATCTCTTTAATGACAGAAACAATACACAACTCAATGACCATGGAATTCAAGTATCTGTTTTCTGTAAAAGTGCTCTTATACATCATGGTCAAGAGTTTAAACTGCTTTACACAACATATTTATATTTCACTTTGTCATTTTCACATTGTAGCAAAAATACAATCATTTAACAGAGTCTTGATTTATTGTTGTGGGGATAGGGTTTGACAGTGCTGCACCCGAAGATAAGGTACCAGCTGAGAAGCACACATGACATTTGCCGCCACAATGATACAAAAGGAGACCGTGGAGCTGAACTCTGCCTGATCGGACCGGCACAATGACACTGACATGTTTAACCTACGTTTTCAAGCCTGCCACATGATAGGCCGATGAGGGGGCTGTGGCATTTTGACTCTAACAGGTGGAGGTTCAAAACTCAGTGGTGTACAGTAGCTATAAATAAGGAAAGTAGGACAAAAGGTGCCTATTGAATCTATCATTTAATGTTTATATTATAGGACTATATTTCTATTTCTCAGTTTGGGTGGCAGATTGAGTAGCACTCTCTTATCAGCAAGAAGGTCCTTGGTTGGAATCCCAGTCGTAATAGGGTTTTTTTTGGATTGGAGTTTGTCGGTTCTCCCTGTGTCCCTGTTTCCTCCGGGTTATCTGGTTTCCCCTACCACAAAAAACATGTACAATAGGCAAAGTCCTCCAGCTCTGGTCCTGACCAACCCGAGCATCAACATCTGGAGATGAATGCCCAGATTTCGCGCTACGGCGACCATTGATGGAGGCCCTTGTGGCAATGATGGATAGGTCAAATGCAGAGGACAAATTTCCCTACAGGGATAATACAGTGTATATACAGTCTGGGCTTTGCCATGTTTAGTTTAGTTTTGTAAGCAATTAGCCAGAAAGTCCTTGAATTGATACCGGACCTTGAACCCCAGAGTGTTTGCCCAATATTCTCCAGGTCCTCCAGTTTCCTCCACCTTCAAATTAATGACAATCACGAAAATGAAAAAAATTGATAGTATGGAACTTACTTCAGCTTTAACAAAAGATCAGACTTTCCAACGCTTCACTCACAGCACATCCCCCCACTGTTTCTTCCTCCCTAACGCACACTGCCTTGTCTTTGCCGCACAAAGTTTAAACCAAGCATTTTTTTCTTTTAGACGTCAGTCTCAAGGAGAGCTCCCCATTCTTCTCAGCAGGAGTAGCCTCATAATCTATTCTGGGTTCATCAAATCCACCACCAAGTCTAGGCTCTCGTGGGTCCTGATTGCACCTCATCAGTAGACCTAGCATTGCTGCACATGCTAGGTCTACTAACTGTGACTGAAGCGAAGTGTGGTTTTGGTGTTTGTTTTGTGGTGTGTAAACAGACTCAGGTCTATTGCACTAAAAAGCTCTCATTTGATTTTCAGAAAAGCGCTCCAGACCACTGTGGTGTTTGTAAAAAAAAAAACGAAAAACAAAAAACATTATCTTTTTCATTGCAATGATCTTAACCAAAATAAAAAGCTAGACCTGTTCTTATGAAAGGGATAAAAAAAAAGTGATTCAAATCCTCTGAAGGCCTTAAGTACAGATGTGGATGGTGAAAAGGTTGGGAGGAGGGCTAAGCAGCGTTGGTGGGGGTCTCTGGGGGCGGAGCTTGTCCCGTTGTCACAGATGAGCGAGATAAGGGATGGATGGGAGATTAGTGTGCCACGGGTGGCCTGACATGCTGTTTTTCAACCGAGCTGTCAGAAAATACACAAGCCCACAGCTCAAGGAAGTGGAGCGTTTAGGGAAAGGGGAGAAATGGGCAACTCGATGCAACTTGACAATGTTTGGTGCCAAGAGACTTAAGGGGAAAACGTCGCAGTCTGTGGAAGGATCTACAGTTCATGTATGCTTGAGCGACTATAGGAGAAGAGAAATTTACATTTGTTGCAGCTGTTATCAAACTGGGACCTAAAAAAGTACTCAGGATACACTTTGCTTTGAGTGAGGATTTACTTTTTAGCTTCACCAGAAAAGTCTCAGGCGCAGCTACTGGTTCATTACTTCAAAAAATCCTGGATTCAGACGGTGATACTGAATTATGTCCCAAATCCACTCATTTCTTACTTGTCCCCATTTCTGAGATCTGAGAGAAATCTGCTCATAACTATTTCAGTTTTATGGAATAAATTGTTTAAAAAAAAATATGCACTGCTTGCTGGCGGTTATTACAAAACCTAAAATCCTTGGTGTCTAATGTTTTACATGTCATATTTTTGCCTCCGTATTATTATAGTCTAAGTTATTTCTTAAAAAACATTTCTGACAATGAAAAATGTGAATTAAAATTTAAAAAAAAGAAAAGTGCACTTTAAAAGACTATACATATGTATAGAGGTATAGAGTATTAGTCAACTTCTTATAATTATATTAATAATTGACATTTAATAGTATAATTATGCATTGGATATATTGTATATTAGCACACTATCATTGATGATTATTTAAAAAAGCTCATTTTCCAATTCATACTTGTCTAGTCTCTAAAAACAAATGTCAGTGTGCTATGTGTACGTGTGTGTCTGTATGTGGCTCCAGAAGTGAATTTGTTTTTTGTGAATTTGAAATGAATAGTGATTATATTTACCTGCAATAATATGGTAGCGTATTGACATTGACATTCAATAATCCACGTATTGAAATAATCAGTGATATAATGTCAGTGATATTAAAAATAAACTCACAGATGGAATATTTTGTGATGTTTTTAGGTTGACAGTCCGAGCTGAATGCCCCATGCATCTGGAGGACTTCCCCATGGACGCCCACGCCTGCCCACTCAAGTTTGGCAGCTGTAAGTGAACAATAAATCATTTTTTACACTTTATTCACACTCATTACTTAAAAGCGGGGATATCAAAATGATTGAATGGTGCGATCACGCCTCTAATTTGGTTCTGGCTTGAGCCCAGGGTGACTTGGTTCGATCTTATTCTAGTCCTATTCTAGTCTTATTCTATTCCTAGTTTAGTCCTTATCAAGGGCGCCAGAATTTGTACTGGGCCAAAACAGATCTAGTACAAACTGGATTCAAACCAATACAGGTGTGAAATGTTTGTGTAAATTATTATGTAACTGCTTGTTTTTGCAACGGTGTAACCAAGAAACCATACATACAGTATTTTTGAATCAAACTTAAAACAACAAATGAAAATCACTTTAATTAAGACTTCAGCTAAAGTGTGTACTGATATAATCATCATAGTTAAGCTTTAGGAACATAATTGACAAATTTGAAGGTTAGATGAATCAGATTTTAAGGTTATAACACTGTAATAGAAAATCCACCAATTCTGTGGCCCTCGCCTAAACATTACACAAGTTGACAGCCAAAAAATGGTCAGGGGTTTCTCAACTGATTTAGACTAATTTTGGTGTTCTGAGTCCGAATATCACATGCATTTTGCTCTATCAGGTCAACTTTTTGAGATACAGCCACAGTGTTACGGATTATGTACGTCTACGTTATTATGAATTCTGCTTATCAAATTTGATGGAGTAAATAAAAACTGAATGACTTTGGATACGTTGACTTTTATTTCTTGAGGAAAACGGAAAAAACGTCAAGGGTTTCTCAGCTGATGCTCCGCAGAAATTAGTTTTTTACGCAAAATCGAAAAAAAATATTTCTGTAGCAAAGAATCCTGACCTGATTGAGCAAAACCAAGGTCATTTTCGGACTCAGAGCATCAAAATTAGTTTAATTCAGCTGGAAAACCCTGGACTATTTTCAAAAAATATTTTTTTGTTACCCAGTGTTATCCTTGTATGGTTCGTATGGTTCAATATACATGGACTCACCACCTGCAGGAGGATCAGTGAGGGCCTGGTGCCATGTGTACTGAGTGGCATCTCTGGCCACCCCTACGACCCAGAAATGGATTAAGGGGTAGAAAATGGATGGATGGATGGTTCAATATACATATCTTAATGAAAAAAAAGATAAAAAAATACTACTTGTGTCTATCTGTGTCTCTGACTATTTAAAATAATATCAATATATCTAAAAAGCTTACTATAAAAACAATATATTAATAAATAAATACAATAGAATATGATGCCCTGATGAAACCAGCACGTTGAAACGCGTTGGCAAATTAAAACCAGAACTCTTTGCTTCCGAATGCCTCAAACTCTTTTTCTCTCAACATTTAAATATGAATTGGGAAAAAAAAATCATGAAATACAAATCTATATTCATGTTTATTTTTAGCACACCCTTGCTGTTCCCATTGACCACCACCAATCAGTCCTGTACAAAGGAGATTCATACTGGGAAAAGTGGGTGACGTGTTTTGGTATCACTCCATTTGAATCCCATCCCATCGCAGCTTAAGAGACGCAGGGCTTTAAACAGATGCCCATAACCAGCGACAGACACTCTCAGGCGACCGTTGACATGCAGACTCCTCCCGTACCAGCTGCCCTGATGGGGTGAGGCAGCGCGGTGACAGATGTTCTCCCGCAGGACGTGTCTCAATCCCCCCGGAGTGGGCCGGTTTCAGGCCGCAGCAGACCCGGAAAGACCCAGAAAAGACCCAAAAAGATGGTGGCAGGCGTTCAGACCAATGCTTTTCCCGGGGCTCTTTGCCACGTCACACCAGCTGCTCACCACTGCTGACAGCAATTTGAGCAAGATGGGGTTGAGAAATAAAAACCAAAAAAACAGATTGTCATAGCGACGGCCTAATGAGGGAAAGTAATTATTATTTATTTATTTTTTTACAATTGACCCTGTACCCTTTAGATGTGAATTTTCCCCAGAAATAAAACAGACAAAAGGTAGAGCCCTGAAACTTTATAAGATTAGAACTACTTAACTTAGGGGCAATTTGGTTCACAGCACAGGGACACGTAAAAAACATAACTAAAGCATTTTCTCCATACATTCAGACAACAAGGTGCCCACATACAGTCTTCCAGTAAGGTCAATGGCAGTTATAAATAACAGGAAAAAAAATAAGACAAAAACTGTTCCTCTCAAGCAAAAATTTGACCCCTATTTCCTCTGTCTATGGTCCGAGTTTAGTGTAGAAACAGCTGCAGGTACAAAAGAGTGTTTATATCTATTACTCTGAACCATTGGGGTTTTGAGGTTGGAACCAGAAGGCAGGTAACTAAACTCTTCATGAAGAGGATGAGCCTCATTACCCATAATCCTCAGAGCCTTCCTTGTCACCTGACCAGTGAACAGTTCAGAAAGTGGAGTCTGAGGAGCTCCCAAAATCTTAGATTTACTATTCTGCTGAGTGACTTTTTCCCTTTGACATTGAGGTTACCAAACCAACACCATGGAAAATGTTAAAACTGACTCAACACAAGATTTGTAAAACAGTCTTATTATCGTCCTGTCCACATGAACATAAGCCTATTTCTGGAGGCAGAACAGATGCTGCTACCCTTTCTTACACAGAACATCTGTGTTTTCATTGAAGTTCAGCCTGTCGTCGTACCATGTCCTCAAATACTTTAACTTTCATGAGCTCCACTCTTTGACTCTTTTTTTTTTTTTTTTTTTTATTGAATCACCCAGTGATAGGGGAGTACATATACAGTAGTTACATCCAAGGAAAACTTACAGTAGTTATATATAAAGAAAACATATACAGTAATTACATATAAAGAAAATAGATTATACAAACTCCTGTATGGTAGCATTGTGGGGAGGAGGGGGGGGGTTAAGAGATGCACAAGAGTGGTGTGTGTGTGTGTGCGTGTGCGTGTTTGAGTGAGTGAGATATGGTAAAAAAAAAACAAAAAAAAACAATAACAATTTAACAAAAATTAAAACGTATATGCACTGTAAATCTATAGACTGGTCCTGCCGCCGATACCATCACCAAAAAGGTTCTAAACAATCCTGATATCTGATATACATATTATGACGGGTGTGGTGTAGAGGTGCTAGGATGTGTAGTGTCATGACTGATGCATTAAAAATCAAGCAGGGGTGGCACCAAAGAGAGTTCCCTCTGGCAACCATCCCCGCTGGTGACCCTAATCTGTGTTCGTGAGGAGTTTGCGTGTATATGTATATACATGTTTGAGGTGGTTTGTTTATTTTATTTTATTTTTTATTTTATTTATTTTTTTATTTTTTCTTTCAATTATCATTATTGTTATGATTTATCATTATCATTATTGTTGTTATTATTTGTTATTGTTATTATTATTATTATGTTATTGTAATAGGTATATCCCCTTGAATATTCATAGTGCTGGTATTGGCAGGGGTAGTCAACAGATCAGGTATCGAAACAAAGTCAAATATAAAGGAGAAGAAAAATAAAAACAAAATAAAAGAGAAAACAGTAACATTTTGTTGTGGGCATGGGCAGTAAAATGACTGCGATACAACGAGTCCTTATGTTTGTATGTATTTGTTTATGTGCATGTTCATGTTTGTGTGTGTTCAAGTTTGTGTGAGTTCATGTTTGTGTGAGTTCATGTTTGTGTGAGTCCATGTTTGTGTGAGTTCATGTATGTGTGAGTTCATGTATACGTGCGTGTGCTGCAGTTCACCTTGGAGAGACCCATGAGGAAACGCATTAGACTTATTAGATTTAAGCATGTTTATTGATTGAGCATGTTTGGCGCCCTAGGCCCGGGCGGGATGCTGCTGAGCACGGCGCTTGCTCGCGTGCATGATCCCCCCGGGGCCTAGGCACTGGTGACGGCAGAGGCAGTAGGCAAGCACGCTTCATGAGAGAAGGAGGAGGTGGGGCGGCGGCGGCTTGCAGACTTCAGAAGACCGGGAAGTGGGCGTCTCCGGCTTTTAACTTGCTGTCCTGGTGGTTATTGGTTGACTGGGTGTGGGCGTTGCTGGTATTGATGAGTCGAGGAAGAGCAGCCTGTGGCCTGGCAGCAGCAGCCGGGTCTACCACGGTGAACTTTCGCGAAAGCTCCATTTCACCTTGGAGAGACCCATGAGGAAACGCATTAGACTTATTAGATTTAAGCATGTTTATTGATTGAGCATGTTTGGCGCCCTAGGCCCGGGCGGGATGCTGCTGAGCACGGCGCTTGCTCGCGTGCATGATCCCCAAAAAGCGGGCCTGCGATTGGGATAGCAGGACGCACTGCGCGGGCCTGAGAGCATGAGCGAGCTGAGAACATGCGCGCACGCGCATGTTCAGCCAGCCGCTGTAGCAGAGGAATCTTTGAGCGAGCTGAGAACATGCGCGCCGCGCGCATGCTCAGCCAGCCGCAGCAGGGAAATCTTTGAGCGAGCTGAGAACATGCGCGCACGCGCATGTTCAGCCAGCCGCAGCAGAGGAATCTTTGAGCGAGCTGAGAATATGAGCGCACGCTCATATTCAGCCAGACGCTGAAGCAGAGGAATCTTTGAGCGTTTGAGGAAGTGCGTGCCGCCACCAGAATCTTATTGCTTACTTGCTTTGCTGGGAGCTTACGAGGAAGCCGGTAGACGTTGTGCTGCCATGATAGCGGTCGCATCTGGCCTGATGTAGGTGGAGAAGCCGAAGAGGACCAGCGCCCCAGCTGTTGCAGAGAAGAGTGGGGGAGCCCCAGCGAGGTCGCGCGCGTGGCAGCGCCTATCCTGAAGGAGTGGGCTGTATAGAGCTGGGGAGAAAAATTGCAGAGGAGCAGTAGGGATCTTAGCTGAGCTCTGAACCAGGTTGCTGTTATGGGAAGGTTGACTGGAGTGAGAATTAGAGGTCCGTTAAAATCTCCTTTTTGCCGCGGAGGCGAGTGTAACGCATCATGGACCTGTAGGGGCAGAGAGATGTGTCGAAGCGAGCTATTATTGTGTTGCAGGCGCCTCTGATCTTTGAA